TAACCAGTGGAGGACAAATGAATAAAAATCACTCTGGTTTTGATGGCTTTATCCCAGACAGTGTAGCCTTAAAAAGCAGGCCACCTCTAGCTTAGGGTTTCTTATTTTGCTTGTCATTTAGAGATTATTTACCAAAAAAACACATGCATTTCCACTTGCAGGCAAAACTGCCTCACCCATAAGGAATCTCAGAGGGAGAGTTTTGCTCCTGCAAGGAAAATTCTGCTGAGACACTAAAAAATCCTTTGATTGCAGTATCTTAGTGGGGAAAGTTTTTGCGGGTATGAATCTGACACTCTGTTTGCCTTTGAATTAACCATAGCAGCTCCCCTGTAACCTCGCACCTCTCGGCACGTTATAACTGTGTGATTTCCCACACATCTGCTGGGGACTTTGAAACCACTGCATTCGTTTTCTTACGACCTAAGCTGCAATTTAACTCAGGTCTCTGAAGATGAAAGCCAAGGAAGATTCTGCAGAGCGCAGAACATTTTCCAAAGCAGATCTCAGCTTGTGGAGATGGGAACAGCTGGCCTGCTCTCCCCTTCGGGTCAGGAGGGCTTGTTGTTTCCAGCTCCCTGTCAGACATCTGAGGAAACCCCATTTCTCTTTTTTTTTTCTACGCCCACTCCCTGAGGCAAAGGCCAGCAGTCCCTACCCATCTGTCTGGAAAACCTGGAAAGAACCTTGAAATATTTTTTTTTCAGTAGACTGTCTGTTTGAGGTCTTTGGATATTACAGAAATAGAATTAAATTCCCCGCAAAAGCAGCAGGACTAGAATCAGCACTTGCTTTCTTGCGTGCTTGTTTGTAGCAGAAAATGTCATAATTTTTGCTAAATTGCAACAAGGCCTCCTAGTCAGTTTTAAAACAGTTTTGAGGCATGGAAGAGAAGTTTATGAAAATTATAGCAATGAAACACAAAGCTTTAGGTTTGAAGTAGTTCTGGACATGGATTTTTAAGGAATTTGTTGATGCCAAAACTAAGTGTATTGACGTCAGTGAAGTTTTCTGGAGAAAGGTGTCCCCAAGTCCAGTATAAATTGCTATTTCAGATTATGGAGTCAACATTCATCTGGGGTGGAGGAAGCCCAGATTTCAGTCTGCTCTCCGCATGATTCAGAGCCTCCCACAACCAAAGTGAGCGATGCAGTCTCTAGACTTTTCTAACGCAGCTCTCAGTCTCTTTTAATGAACTCCTTGGAAAGCGGGCTTGTTTTTAATGTGGAAAAATGTAAAACGTAAAACCTCAAATATTTTCACCAGACAGAACTCACATTCTTTGGCCAGCCCCAGCTGGAAGTTATTGTCAAGGTTGCTGTTCATCAAAGGACTCAAGCAGAAGGCAGAGCCTTATTCTGGTGTTTCTGTAGCACCTGTAGAGTGGAGGCCTGCTCCACGCCTGTGGCTCTTTGGGGCTCTTTGGTCTGACATATGACTCCTCAGAAACATACAAGTAAATAATATTCAATGCTAATCTCACAAATAGTCCCTTTAGGGCCACAGCTAATATGGTGCACTTAAAGTCGGGCATGTGCTCAATTATAAAGTTATTACTGAATCAGAGGCCTTGTAGGCTGAAAATTTGATTAAGGAGATTTCAGCTTGAGAAAAGCCCCCAGATTAAATGTTGGGGTTTTTTTTATACAAAGCTCAGACATATCAAATTGTTTTGGACTGTTCTTTTCACTGTTAATAAGCTTGTGCAAGCTATAAAGTTGGAAATGTCTTCAAATGAAGTTTATAAAAGAGTATACTTTTCAGATTTCAAAGCAAAAGAAAAGTCTGCAGTCAGTGTGTTAAGAAATCAAAATTTTTTTTCCAGCATTTTGTTTTTCTTAGTCTAGAGTTTTTTTAAGTTAAGATTTAATTAATACTTTATTTTTCAAACCAACCAAAGCATTAAATGAAACAATCTTAGCTTAACCTTCCTGTAACTCTATGTTTCATGACAGTTACCCCAAAGATTAATTAGATCTGCTTGACAAAATGAGTTTGTGATGCAAGTGGTGATAGAAGTAACACTGTGAGTGGAAGCTACTCAAAAATCCTGTGAAGTGTTACCGTAATTAAGTGCCAAAGTCAGCTCTGGCGTGAGCAGACCTCAGTATCGACACAGAAGGACGTGTACCCATGTGCAGTGGATGTGATCGTTGCCCCTGACTGAGCCCGTTGGGATTCCCCGCTCTTTGGTGGAATTTCAGTCCACTGGTGAAACTGGAGTTGGGGCTGGGGAAACTGGTGCACTGGACGACTTCTTGAAAACAACTCTGCAGAAGTTCATGCCTAGATATTAGGCTATTATTTAGACTAGATATTAGGAAAAATTTCTTTATGGAGGGAGTGATCAGGCAGCGGAACAGGTTGCCCAGGGAGGTGGTGGAGTCACCATTACTGGAAGTGTTCAAAAAACATGTAGATGGGGCACTTTGGAACATGGTTTAGTGGGCATGGTGGTGTTGGGTTGATGGTTGGACTTGATGATCTTAAAAGTCTCTTTCAACCTTAATGATTCTGTGATTCTGTGAAAATACGGTGCACGAGAGTACAGGAGGGTGTGATGCAGCTGGAAGGGTGGAATGACGAGAAGAAGGGGAACAGGAGGGACAGTGTTGATTGACTAGTTCTTCTAGGTTTCCTGAGCAGTCAGTGGAGAGGCACTGGTGCTGCCAGAGGCTTCGGGTGAGCAGCTCCGTGGTCTGTCTCTCATGGACCATGGTGGGAAGCCAGCCAGAGCAAAGAGCTGACTCAAGGAGATGAATAGACACCTAAAACCACTGTGGAAGTACTTTCTACATCTTCACTTACTGCATGCAGATCTCCCCAGCACTTTCAGTAACATCTGACCCCTTCCAGGAACAAATATATTTTCTCTTTATAATCCTGATATCTTAATTAACAGTTCAACCTGTAAAATATGTAATCAAACTTTACTTTTATGAAGGTTTGAGAAGGATAATCCAAAACATTAATGAAAGCAGGCCTTTGTAAACAAGTCCTCTCTTTGCTTGGGGGACACAATGTATTTCACATAAGAAGTTTATTTGTAAAATTGGCCTCGGTCCAAATTTAGATATATAAGCATTTGTTTAATCTTAATGAGCTCCATAGTGTGCTTACAGGTAAATGCATGTTTAAGCACATTGTTGGAAGAACAAAAAGAAGGCTGAGGCAGATCCAGTGGCTCATTGGCCTGAAAAATAAACCAAGGGGAGAAATATAGTCATTTCTTACCTGGAACTGTTCCCTGTTGTTCACCACTAGCTCTTACCCTCCCAATGGAAAAAGGGATGTGGCTCTAGGTACAGTTGGCCAGGACTGAAGACTGCTTTACCCTTTTAGCAAAGTGTGTATGGAAACATGGCTCTGAAATCACTCTTTTAATTTTTTCTTTATTCTAGACACTATTAGAATTTTTTGCCTTTTTCTCTGTCTCTTTAGCCATACGTGTTAGCTATACATACTGCTGCTGGTGGGGAATTAGGTTTTTCTTGTCATACAGGATGTTGACCTTTCACTGAAAAACACAGTCTTCCCCAGAAAAAAAACCATTTTCAGATGAGAACAAAAACTTTTCTAGTTTAAGTTTTCTTATTTTTTGAAAAAGTCAACATTTTCCATAGGAAGTTAATATTCTTTGTGAGGTTTTTTGCATTAAAAACTGTTTCACTGGCTCATATTTATGCTGCAGAAAACCACATGAGCACAGCTATTATTTTGTATTTTATTCATTGGTGAGGCAAAGTGATAATAATAAAGACAGTCAATACACATGACTTGGTAATGTAGCTTGGATCTTTGGTAATTTGAATCTTTCAGGTACCACTATATGGATGCTGAAAATAATAAATAATATATTCAAGTGTTAAATTCAGCAAATCAAACATTAGGAATCGTTATGAAAGTGATCAAGACGAAGTAGAGAACATATTGTGCCACTGTGTGACTCTATATATAATTTGTTTGCACCTTAAGCACTTAGTACAGTTCTGTTCCCCATATCAAAAAGGGAGATGATAAATCTGGCAAAGTTTCAAAGAAAAAAAAAGGATGATTGAAGGTATGGTACATTTTTCATACTATACCATATACCACACAGGAAAAACTGAGTCACTTACTTAAGACTCTTCAATGTAGAAAAGCAGTCCTGCTAGAGGACAAAAAATATCCATCTATAAAAGCACAAGCAGCACGGAGATTGTGGGTAGGTATCAGTAGTTCACGGTCCTTTCCAGTAGAAGAACTTGGGATCATTAAATGTGGCTGGAAAGAGACGGGTTCAAATCCCTCTAAAGGAGGCAGTTGTTCACTTGGCTGTGAGTTAAGCTGTGGTGCTCCAGGCTGTAGGATGGTGGGGATACTTAAAAGTTTGCAGGGGTTGAAGGAGAAACTACGTAAATCCAGAGGAGATAACTCTTCTGAGTGTTAGTAATGATGCAGAAATTGTGGCTGGTTCAAGAAGACTCTGAACTGCAAATGGTTGGAGGACCAGAAAATATTAATGGGAATCATCATACACGTTGGGACTTATTCCTAAAATGCTTTACTAGCAGATGCTGGCACTAGCAGCAGTGAGAGACATTGCACTATACGGAGTGTCTGATCCAGTGCCTCTGCCCTTATGTGCGTTAGTATTCGCTGCAGTCCTATATACAGCTTGAAACTGTGACGTGTGTTAAACACCTACTGAACAGCCTTCACTTCTCACTGATGTCCACTATAACTGACATCACTCAGTACTCACAGGACCAGGCTTTTCCCACTTGAGTTAGAAATACATGATGAGTATCTATTTGCAAGTCCTACTTCCTACAAACCAGACTTGTTTCAGTATTTCACAAAATTCAAGACAAGGAAAACAAAACACCACAAAGTTTATACAGAGAAAGGAGCTAAAAATGCCAAACCCAACATTATAGAAATTACAATCTCTAAACTAGAAAAAGGAAAAGGGAAATGTCAAAGAAAGGTTTTGCTATTCATAATTGTTTGCTTTGTAGGTAAATGCATCCCGCCAAGAAACCAAGCTAATGGAAGAATGTGACCAGCTCATTGAAATCATCCAGCAAAGACGACAAATAATTGGAACCAAAATCAAGGAAGGAAAGGTAAAAGCTTTTCTTCTTTAGATCACAAGTAGGTCAACACTGCTTCCCCATGCTATGGCTTTTTGACCTCAGGTACTATTAATACACATTTATAAAAGTCCTTATGTAGTCCTGTAGTCCTGGGCTACTGCTACTTTCATGTGAAGACAAATGAAATATATTGATTAGTATGATAGACCTTAACGGTTTATCTGGCATTTCTATCACTACATGTGATTATGATTTTTAAGGATAAACACAGAAATGATGTCACCATCAGTAAATGATAATAAAATGATGACTAATTAATGATTCCTTCACTCTGTTATATATCTGACTGTTTCCTCCAAAGTTTTCATTTTCACAGTGTCACAACGTTTGGTATTGTGGCTGGCAATTATCTACATTAATATTTTAGCCTGGATACTTTAATTATTTACTAAAATAGTATCACATAAAGAATTTGTTTCAATCAATGTCATTCTTGAGAATAGGAAGTCTAATTTATTTACAAAAACAAAATTCAAAAACATGCAGGAAATTAAATCAAGTGCGCATTTCTAATTACTGAGGTACAATCATTATTAGTGGCAAATACATTGAGCAGAAAAAATCTGTGATATTCAAGTTTCGATGCAGTTTGCTAGCTGCCTGTTAACTGAGAAACACATTAGCGTTGAATTAACATTCTTATTTTCTAGGTACATGGTGTTTACTCTTTAACTGTTGAACTAACTAAGTCAAGTATAAACTCTTCTTGTGTGGGAAAAGCTCAGGAAAGGAATAAAGTCAAGAGCAGGTTAAATGGTTCACGCAGCTGTCAAGATATTCCAATTAACTTGAAATAAAAAGCCTGTAGGCAAGGGCTGACTTAAACATGCTTGAAACTGCAGGTCCTGTACATTGTGTGACAGAACTTGAATTTCCTCATGTTATTAACAAAATATAATTCCCTTCAAAATGGAAAAGATGCCCTTCTGCATTATTGTTTCAACTCTGTTTCTCTATGTAATGAGACCAGCTGTGCTTCCAATGAAGTAAAAAACTTTCCATTCATTTGGATTTGTGCTATATACATGAGTTGCTTTTAAAAAATCTATTGCTTGCAAAGACGTATTGTAATATCCATTAGAGCATGGAAGATTTATAATACAATTGGCTCCAAATTTATTTGAATACAGTTGATATCAGACTCTATCCCCATTCTTTGTTCTACTTTGTCCAAACAGAAGTGATACCAATGGAGGTCCAGTAAAGATCTGGAATGTTTTGCCCCAAATGTTGTATATGTTGAAAGATTTTAGGGGTTCAAGAGACGCATGTGAAAAGTCACAGGAACTTCTGCCCAGCGTATCTTCTTTTAAGAGAGCCTGTGGCTAAGAGTCTTTCTGGAAGGTAGGGCACTGCAAATTTGTCTGTGGGACTCTAGTTATGGCTCCAGAGCTGGAAACACCTAGGTATCAAGCTCTAGCTATGGCTGCGACAACGTGGTGCAGCTCCACTCTTCATCTCACCTATCACCTGAAACCTATAAAATCCCACGGAGCATGTAACAGGGGAAAAACACTTAAGTATCAAATAGTTAAGATCATTTTAGTGCAGACATCATTCCTACCATTGGAATGGGGGGAGTGGGTGAGGCAAGACTCTTCCTTTTAAAGATTATCATCCGTTGTCTTCTGGAAGAAGATATAAAAAAGAACCAAGGAAACAAAAAACCTAGTTCAGATGTAGACCTCACAAATCATGACATGCCTTCTGACTGCTAAAAGCTCACAAGGTAACATTTATTTCAGTTTATTGTTTGTTTTGTTAATTAATAAGTAAATAAAGGAGTGACCTACTTAATACGGCAATGTACCTTTCCCTGTTTAGGCTGGTGTAGACCAAATTGTAATTTCTGCAAATGCGCAGCCAGAGAAAACGTTATCGTGTTAGTTCATCCTAGAAGCTGATCAGATCATTAGCATTATCAAAATCTGAGATTGCATTATCAAAATGCTGAGATTGGGAATGATATCTTCATTATAAATTTGGATATTTCTGCCAATCCACTTGGTTGTTAATTTCCTCATTTTGCATGTAACTGGGTCGTAATGCCTTTCTAAACTCCAGAATTATTTAATTTCCTTCCTATTTCTTACTCCTATTCAAACTATGATCCTGATGTGATAACAATGGGAAGGACTCCCAGACCTTTCAGGAACTAGAAGTTTTGTTAGCCAACATTGTCTTTAAATGGAGGATTGACTGTGCCCCTCCCTAACCTTTCAGCTAATGATTACAGTCACATCTACTGTGTTTATCTCCAGCACATATGTTTGCAGTAATAATAATCAGCTCTGCAGCACTACTGTGCTTTTGTCTAGTTAAAAATATCCAACGAGAAAACACCCTGTTTGTCTGAAAGCACATAAAGAAAAGGGCAGGCATATATTGTTAGTAGAATTGAACAGCCTTTTTCTGTCAAGTTTTATTTTCAGATTACTTTTTATGAAACTCATCTCAGTAATACGAAAAAAGTAGTTAATCTATAAGCTGCCTTTAACACAGATCTCATCACTTCAGGGGAACTGTTATCTAAATAGCCCTTAGTTATCATGTAAGCAGAAAGTACCAGGAAATGACGTTTCTTCTGTTGGAAAAAAGGCCAGCTGTGCTTGTTTTGGCTCTCCCCTGTTGTTTTCCATGCGGAAAATACTGAGGCAGAAAGGCTGTGCCTGTCCCCTTATTAAAAATGTTACATGGCTAGATGGGGCTCACCATCAAGCCGGTGTGAAAGAAGCTCTTGTCAGTGAAACCATTCATCTTAACTCCCTCTTTGCATTCCAGCTTTGCCTCGGAAGTGCAAATGTGATCATGATTTGTGATCTTAGAGATGTGACTGCTTTCTTATGTTTCCACTCAAGGTGGTGAGGTTGAGAAAACTGGCTCAGCAGATTGCGAACTGCAAACAGTGCATTGAGCGCTCAACATCCCTCATCTCTCAGGCTGAACAGTCGCTGAAGGAGAATGATCATGCTCGCTTCCTGCAATCTGCCAAAAATATCACTGAAAGGTAAAGAAGACGTTCCTCTTGCAAAACCTCAGTGTAAGGCAAATGGGTTGTCATAGTTGCTATATTCATAGAATCGTTAAAGTTGTCTTGTCCCACCACAGATGTGGTCAAAGAGGGAGGGGGTTAATTGACACATTCCCTCAAAACACTACTTTGTGCTGTACCAGCATGGGAATGGCCTTACTGTAATGCTAAACCAAAACATCCCTTTGAAAAGAGGAGCAGTTGAAAAAGGATGCAAAATAAGAGTTAGGATAGTAATAGCATGCAGAAATGAAGGAGGTAGCACAGATGCCAAGCAGATATCTGGTGTTAACACAGTAAAAAAACGTATTTCTGGAGGCTGAAATTCCTACTCCATGAAAAACTCTGAGATTGAGATAGAAATCAGGCAGTGAGTACATTCATTAGAAGAAATTTGGAATTATTTTAATGGGTTCATATTCTTCACAAAATAGCAAGCATCAAGGTAGCGATATGTGTAACTTTGGGAACCTGCCACATGCATCTCTGAGGTAGCCCACTCAAAGAGTTGGAGACTCAACAGCTTGGGTGTCTGGAAGTTATAGCAGCTGCTGTGTTGGGTCTCTGGGTGCAGGGGATTTCTACTACTTCTAGGATCCTAGCTCCTTTTCAGCATGCCAAGGACCCAAAGACAAGGGAGCAAGTCTTTCCAGGAAACTGTGCTATCAGAAAATTACGTCTGGTTTTCAGTGCAACACGGAATGCTGAAACATTCCCACTGAATTTCAGCAGTATTTTCCGATCAAAAAATGATCTGTTGGAATTATCAGCTGTTTAGCCATCAGTCAGGGAAACAAAAAAAGGGAAATATACCTGGACAATGAAGAAGAAAACCATTAAAAAGTATGCTCATTTACTCAGCTATTTTTTTTCTCTGGGTTCACATTATATCTTCACATTGTCCAGCCAATTTTCACCTAACCTAAAGCATGAAATTCCCTGCTCTTGTTGTGTTTTTTAAAGTCTATCACTTACTCTGGAGTGCTGAATGCAGATTCTCTGAACATGAGGCTTCACCAAAGCTATTTAATCAGTTTATAAATAAACCAGCAACGCTGGTTGCTCATTACAAGTTCAGAGAATTGACAATCTGTTGAGAAAGGCAAGGCAAGGGATTACGTTTGATCTCTCAGACTCAGGTTTGTATTCTGTCACCACAATACATTGTGACACTTCTTTCTTCCAGCTGAAGCTGATAGTAAAACTACACATGAGTATGATGAGCAAAAAGCTGAAGGTGGGGGGGTCTGGCCTTTTTTCAGTATTTGGTGGAACAAGCAGTAGGGCGTAAACCTGTGGAGACACACAGCTTTTTAACTGACTACCGGAGGATATCCAGAGAAGCTCCATTTTCACCTGGTAAACACGAACAGTTGCATCATAAATAGTCACAGGGGAGACACTCAGAGAGCAGAAACGAGACCAGCTGACATATGTGCCTAATCAAATCTAATTCTTGGCTATCACAGATTGCTGTCTGTAATGAGATGGCTGTGAATGCCCTGAAAATCAGAGAATCATTTAAAGCAGTGAATGAAACTGAGGGGGAAAAACCACCAAGTGCTTGCAGACAAATTGCAAGTGGAAAAGGAGACTAAATCTGATTAATAAATTATTCCCTACAAGTAACTCTCTTAGTTCTCATGTGGTAAGCAATATTTTGTTTGCTTCTAGACTGCTCATTTAACAGTCTCACCAGGGCCCTGAGCTCCAGCAGCTAAAACAGTCTCCTGAAATTATGCTCATTGCATTTCTTCATGCACATATTTCAAAGTAATTGCGGTATAATATTCTCAGTTGTAAGCACAACAGGTAACTATGTGTAGCAAAGACATTACACACACTACAATGATTTAGGTCTTGCAGTGTTTACGGCGGGTGAAATGCATCTATCCTAGAAAAAGCCCATTTCAACCAAGTACGGTGTCAGGCAGAGCAGGCAGAAATACAAGAGGAAATTCAATCCTCTGAACCTGATATGGTGTCGTGGTTTAGCCCCAGCCGGCAACTAAGCACCACGCAGCCGCTCACTCACTCCCCCTCCCGCAGTGGGACGGGGAAGAGAATTGGGAAAAAACTCGTGGGTTGAGATAAACACGGTTTAATAGGACAGGAAAAAAAAAAAAGAAGGAAACAACAATAATAATACCAACAAAGGAATGTACAAGAACAAGTGATGCCCAATACAGCAATTGCTCACCACCCCGTGATCGACAGCCCGTCCCCGAGCAGCGATTTCCGCCCCCCGGCCAACTCCAGTTTATGTACTGGGCATGACGTCGTATGGTAGGGAATATCTCTTTGGCCAGTCTGGGTCAGCTGTCCCGGCTGTGTCCCCTCCCAGCTCCCCGTGCACCCCCAGCCTGCTCGCTGGCAGGCCAGCACAAGAAGCTGGACTGTCCTTGGCTGCTCAGCAGCAACCCAAAACATCAGCACACTATCAACAGCTTCTCATCCCAAATCCAAAACACAGTCCCGCACCAGCCTCTGCGAAGAAAACCAGCTCCATCCTGGCTGAAACCAGGACATATGGTGACAGTGTGTCTGAAACTGTGAGCAGTTGAGCTCACCAAAAACTGACTTCAAACACTTAATCACAGCACATTCTTTGCATAGCCCCAGACAACAGTCCAAAAGCCTGGTGAGATGGTCTTCTTCACAATAAATTTGTTCTTTATGGAGGTATTCAAAGCAGCTCTTAATCGTAGATACCTGCTTCCTGGTTTATTAGCAAGACCTATGTTAATTTTGTAGAGTTGTGTATCAACCTGAGTCTGCCCTAACACAGGTCCTACAAGAAATGCATGTCTTTTTTCCTTACTAAATGTGCAAACATCTTATTGTAACTGCAGATGAACTACAGGGGGGTGGGAGAGCCAAAAAAGAAGTGAAAGAGCTCAGGGAATTTTTCCCTCTCAGTACATGGGGCAAAAGGCACTTCAGTTATCCTCTCTAAAAAAAAACCCCATCTGTACCAGGATCTACTTTAAACTAAGTCCTACAACTACAGTTGCAAGAGAAACAGTGCTGAAAACTGTATAAAAAGAATTATTGACCAGGGAACCTCCTCAGCTCAGTTTCTGAAAACCATGCTGAAGACAATGAGATGCACAGCTCAGTTTTTGACTTTCCTAACTGTATTTTCCTAAAATACTACACAAGAAATATATGAAAACATAGTTCTTAGCAAGCATTTGGCCTGGAGCCATTTAAGTCCTGCCTACAGAGACATACTCTAATTTGGGAAACTGTTAACTGAAACAATCAAAATATTTTGAGCTGACATGTGTCACGAATGACAGATAATTGACATACCTTGTATGCATGGCTGGGTGTTTACCTCCAAACTGAAACAATTAACAAATTTCTGTTGTATAACATGAGGTTTAATAATCTCTTTGCTTAAATGGCCCGAACTTCCTCTAAACATATCCAGTATCCAGCTCTCCAGTAACATGTATTTTGAGATACCAGGCTGAAGGATCTGAAAACTCCATCCTGATGGCAGTTTTCTTCTGAAAGCTCATCTCTTTATATTAGTACGGCTGGACAAACAAAAAGTGGATGTAGCTCCTGAAATGAGGTAGGCTGGGAAACTTCAGTTTTGGAGGAAATGTAAGCATGCACACATGCTTTACAGGGAAAAGACTTTCAAAATAAACTGTGCTGACATCTATTTGTTTTATCTTCCCCCTGTGCTTTTTGTAGTTAACAGCAGTGTGCTGCGCTGAAGAGCTGAGGAGGTGTGGGGATCTGCACCAAGCCCTTGGGATAACAGTGCCAAGGAAAGCCTGGGGCAAGAAGCTGCTTGGGAAAACAAGGGTTGGGAGAGATGCAGCATCTGTCAGTGTTGCTTAAAACACTGATAAAAATGTTTCTATTGCTACTTTGGTTCAGCGGGTGACTGGAAAGAACAATTCAAAGTATATTGTTGCCAATATTTTGTTAAAAATTTATATGATGCTGCATGTTAGGCAAAACCGAAGTAATAAGGAAATTTTACTGGGGACTTCACTCCCAAAAATAAAAGTGGTAGGAGAAGCTCCTGACTTAAACCATATAAATAAAATACATGTAATAGTATTTGTGAAGCTTTTTGAGAAGTGATAACAATCATGATGATCAAGTTCTACCTTGATGTGAAAGTTATTGTGTCTTAGGTGTTAAAAGACTCTTTTCTTTCCATTATAGGGTTTCCATGGCAACCGCATCCTCCCAGGTTCTAATTCCTGAAATTAATCTCAACGATACTTTTGATACTTTCGCACTTGATTTTACCAGGGAGAAGAAATTATTGGAATGCCTTGATTACCTTACAGGTAACTTTTTTTCTCAAGGTGCTACTATTGTATCTTTCTCATAAAACAATAGGTACAGGATTTTCTTCATTTCTCCCTGTGGTCAGTTAACCTTGGCTGGTGCCCACCCAGCCCCTCTTTCACTCCACCTCCTCAGCAAGACTGGAAGAGAAAATAAGAATAAAAGCTCATGGGTTGAGATAAGGACAGGGAGATCACTCAGCAGTTACTGCTACAGGCCAAACAGACTCTACTTGGGGAAGATTAATGTTATTTATTGTTAATTAATTGTAAGACTTGGATAGTGAGAAATAAAAACAAAACAAAAAACAGTTTCCCCCCATCATTCTGGGCTCAACTTCACTCCCAACTCTTCTACATTCTCTCCCTGAGCAGCACAGGGGGACAGGGAATGGGGGTTGTGGTCAGTTCATGATATGTTGTCTCTGCCACTCCTCCCTCCTCATGCTCTTCCCCTGCTCCACTGTGGGTCCTTCCCACAGACTGCAGTTCTCCAAGAACTGCTTCAACATGTGTCCTTTCCATGGGGAACAGTCCTTCGGGAAGGGACTGCTCCAGCATGAGTCCCCCATGGGCCATGGTTCCAGCCAGAAAACCTGCTTCTGCATGGGCTCCTCTCCACTGCTGCAGCTTCCTTCAGGGCACATCCACCTGCTCTACAGGCTGTAGGTGGATATCTGCTCCACTGTGGTCCTCCATGGGCTGCAGGGGCACAGCTGGCCTCACCGTGGTCTTCTCCACAGGCTGCAGGGGAATCTCTGCTCTGGCACCTGGAGGACGTCCTGCCCCTCCTTCTGCTCTGACCTTGGTGTCTGCAGGGCTGTTTCTCTGACATTTTCCTACTCTTCCTCCCAGCTGCTGCGCAGCATATTTTACCCTTTCTTAAACATGCTATCACAGAGGCGCTACCAGCGTCACTGATGGTTTCAGCTTTGGGCAGCAGTGGGTCCGTCTTGGAGGTGGCTGTGTCTGACATGGGGTCAGGTCCTGGTCTCTTCTCACAGAAGTCACCCCTGTAGCCCTCCTGCTACCAAAACCTTGTCATGTACATAACCCCA